CATTATTTTTCCCATTTCTGTGTATCATTTGTCTTTTATTTTATTTCTGCCAGTTCAGTCTCCTCAATATTTCCCTAATTCTCATCTTCAAAGTAAGATAAGTTACATTCCCCGCTCCTGACACATGCAGAAAATATCCCAGGGAGAAGAACACAAACCAAGCTCTCTAGTCAAGCTTACAGAGGGTTATGTGAAGCCAGACGGATGCATTTTGATGCGAAACAGATCTGAATGCAAACTCCAGGAACTGAACCATCAAGCATTATTTGAGGAGGGCGATCAGGCAATGTGCCTGGGGTACCATCAGATAGAATTCATTGTCACAGATGGTAAAAAGGAAAAAGAACTAAACAGAGCATGTGATACCTTCAAAGTCCCCGTATTAAACAGAGATTGAAATGCTACACTCCGGTGTCAAATCCCACAACAGTCTGGAGAAAATTTTGACTCAGAGAAAATCTCTTCAGCCTCTTATGTCACTAGATCCCTGCTTCCACTTAGCTCCTGACTTTGTGCATGTTCCAAGCTTCAGCTGGAAGTGGCAACAGGAGTGGATTAAGCACAGTTGGCTTTCACACTTAAAGCTTGAGCATTAATGGTTCAGCAAAGCAAAGTTTTCCATTAGACCTACTGTACTTCCAAGTCCGAACTATTGATAGGCCCCAAGTTTAATGCCTCTGTAAGAAATATGCATGTATGTTGGCTATAAATGAGAACACACATCTTAAAGTGGAATCAGGAGTCCAGGAACCAGCCAAGCTGAGACTGCCTTGACTAGACAAATAGTATTTCTACAAATTCTTGGGCTGAAAAGAATAAAAGTTTCCCAACACCAACTTATCAGATATAGTAACAAACATTTAAGAGAAGGAAGAGAGATCCCTTAAATGCAACTATTCTTTTAAAAGACTCCACCAAAAAATGTGAATACCCTCAACTTAATATAATAATTTCAATGATGTATTTCAAAAAGTTTGAACTTCAACTATTATTGTTATAATAAATACATAGATAGTCTTATCCATAGTGTCTCACATTCAAAAATCTTGTTATATACAACTTGTCTAAGAGGCTGAGTGAGATTTCACCTAAGTTGGACCATTAGGACTCATATTTTCCTTTATAACTTTTATCTAGAAATTTATCTGAATTCTCAAAAGATCAAGAAGTGAGACTTAGAAAAGGAAACATTCCATGAAAGGTATTACTACAATAATCTAAAAATATATTTCACAAGTGTAAAGGGAAATCCACCCAAGACTCTCCTAGAGGTTCGTATTTCCCCCTTGTTTCTAAAATTCTCCTAGGAATGACTTTCCATAGCTTAGGTTTCCTATAAGTGGCCTTATTGTGGGGCAAGGGAGGGGAGGGGAGAGAGTTGAGGCAAAGATAAATGTAATAAGTGCTGACAATGAGTGAGAAGGAATTCTTTCTTTTCAGAAGAAAATAATAGAAAATAACAACATTAATCATTAATAAACTAGCTGCTAATCCTTAGTCACCCACCATGAGCTAGCCACTACGTCAAGTGCATTGCTCATAAGCATCACGTGAACACTTTTATTCCTTCCATTTGGAAGATCAGAAAACTGAGTCTGAGAGAGGAACTTGCCTTTGGTCACACAGCTACAAAGTGGCAGAAGTGAAATGCAGTCTCTATCCTGTCTGATTCTGAAGTTCTGAATCTTTACACGAGAGAAAGAGATGTTACTTAGTATTAGATACAGAGGTAAACAGGGTATAAAATGGTTGTCTAAGATATGTGCATGAGAAAGTGAGGTGGGCTGAGGCTGAAAAGGGGGAAGAGGGGAGAGAGAGAAAGAGGAGGGGGAGAGAGCAGGGAGGAAGGGGCAGAGAGAGAAGAGAGAGAACAGGGCTTCCTTATATGGCCGGAATCACCCACGAATGATGGGGACCATGTTGTTTCACCAAGCTAAATTTCCCTGTTTGTGTCCCTCAAGTGCCAAACTACTTCAAAACTCTCTTACTACTTTATACCCTCCCAAACCTCATACCACAGATCATTCAAAATCTTTGCTAATAAAACAGGGAGAAGGCAGCAAGCTGTGAGATGCAAGCTCCAGGATATCAAAGTTGGATTGATTTTGAGTTGTTGTACTTAGACTTACCTGGGAGATCTATCTACAGAACTCAGACCAAATTATACAACCATGACTGTATATGGCTACAATTTCATTATGACAGTATGTCAGTTCTACCTGAAATAAACAAGGCAATAAGCCACTGTAGCCTGCCCTTAAATTCTCAGCATCTCATCAGCAACATAACAGAGAAACTGGTGTTCATAGGCTAGAGCAACATACATTCTATGGAACCAAGAATTTCTGTAACATAGTATGTACCTCTGTAGGTGTTTCTTTGTTTTTTTGCAAACGACAAAACTGGTTCTGGCCAACTAAAGCAATAGCTTTATTAGGGGATATGGTATCATTAAAAGATTACAGAAATACTAAAAAGCCAGTCTTAGAGGAAAAAAGAAGCAGGGCTCCAAGTGCAGGAACTAATCAACAATTAGTAGCAGCACTACAAAATCAGCTCCAATAAACTTCATCCTGGTATCACTGAACTCTGAAATGTTGGAAGTCCCAGAATGAGAATTCAGCTGGCCTTCTTTGGGTCTCTTGCTGACCCCTGACTAGGGAAACTTGATTGACAATTCCACCAAGAATCTATACAGTGAAGAAGAGACAATAACCAAAAGAAAATTGGGGAAAGTTCTCTAAAAGAGTGAGGTGAGAAATGGATATTAAGTAGAAGAAATAATTTCTGCAGTGTTCCAGGCTCTTATGGGTCTGGATTCTCTATTCATTCATTTTTCATTTTCATATCATTCCTCTCTCTCTCTGGTGTCTGTTAAGGTTTTTGACCATTCAGACAATTTTTAAAGCTTTTTGAAAAGTTTAACGGAAATTTATTTTGGTAATTTAAAATAACTGTTCTAAGAGAAAGGGTTTTGACACATGCTGGGTACTTTATTCTCCAGCACCTGATAATGCAAACCTGGGAGAAGAGATAGAGAGTGGAATTGGTAATAGAAGACAACTGAAGAACCATGAGATGAGACGAAAATGTGGAATTCAGAAAGCACTTTCAGTTAGCTGCCAACACTGCACTGCCAGGACATGTAAACTGAGTCTGCCTTTGTTAAGGTCATTTATGATCTATATCCCATAATCAAGCTAAGAGAGGTGGTCGTGAAGCAAACAAGATAGAAAAGTGAAATAGTGCAACACACAAGGAGAGAGCAGTCTATGTGGCAGAAGAGGAGAATACATTAATAGAACAACTGCCTTGACACCTAGTGGTTTTCAAGTCCAGTGTATGCCCTCTTGAAGAACAGTCAGATTTCTAGCCCTGGGTCAAAGATATGCCCTTGATTCCTTATAATAAATCCCTCTATAAAAAGAGCCAGATGGATTGGTTCTGCTTTATTGCTACCAAACAATCCCGGCGTAAGACAAATACCCTTAGTTAACCTTGAATGAAAGTTCATGGCCTGGGCCAGTAAGCCCAGTGGAGAATGCCAACCACGCAGAGCCTGAATACCAACCAAGATGGATCATTTCATCTGACCCCAAGAAAGCAGAGGCCAGGGAGAGAACCCTGCCACGGGAGCTTTAGCATGGGCAACTGCGGGGTGGGAGGAGCATTTGCCAACTCAGAAAAACAATAATTAAAAGCAGAGACTCGAGACTTGCAATCTAGCAGGCTTTCCACTGCCACCACAGCCTGCATTGGGTGAACCATGATCTCTACCTGCCGCTCTCAGATGAAGAGCAAGCCAGAGTGATGAAAGAGGACTCATCGCTACTTTTCACAGCTCATGAGTGGTGAGCGATTACTGGATTAACAGGGACACAGGTCCATTCCGCATGATGAACTTGTAGCTTTGCACAGTGAGATTACGGTGATTAGCGATTGAGTGATTAAAAGTTCACTGGCTAAGGCAAACCTCAGCCTATGGCTGGGGGGGGGAGTGATGGAGAGGGGCAGGCCCACCAGGGGGCGTGGATGCTCACACCCAGCTGCTGATAGGACAGCAGAAGATGGACATCAATTGCCATTAATTTGTTTGCAGCCACGTGATCCGTGATAAACTGAGCTTCCTCGATAGAGAGAAAAGGGAAGAAAAAGCAATAACTAACAAAAGAACATTTCTTGTTTGGGAAGAGGAGGGATTGAAGTCTCCCTTATCCTGAAAAAAACAAAAAAATAGGATTAGCTTTATAACATCTCCATTAACTCTATTTTGGCCCAATGGTTGAATCTAAGAAATACAGGTATATAGAAATGGCACTGAAAAGATTTAGCATAGTGGTTAAAAGCTTGGGTTCTGGAATCAAATACATGAAGGTTACTCATCTTTTTCTGCTTACCAGCTGTGGCCTCATGAAGTTTACTGTAAGTCCGAAAAATAGGGTTAATATTATTAACTCTTACCACTGAACTGCTAAAGGCTTCAATGAAAAACTGCTTAGAAAATGCCTAGTACACCACACTCAAGAAATATTAATAACCATAAAAACAATCTAGAAATCATTTTGTCATTCACTGAAAATCCAAGGGATTCCTATACTTTTATGTGCCCCAATGAAATCTCTATCACCTGGGCATACTTACCAAATTTACAATTGATATGATCCTGGGGAAAATATTCAACTAAATGGATGGTAGAATTGAGAGTCCAAATGATCTTAACTAGCTGAAGTAATAATCCAACTTTAACATAATGAAATTGAATTTTATAACCTAATCTATATCAGGCATCACACTGAGCACCGGGCATATAAAGATGATTAAGAAGTGGTCCTTGCTCTCGGTGAGCTCAAAGTCTAGTTGGAGAGAAAGGTACATATCCCAGCAAAGACAACCTCTTTGTATAAGCACAGTCACAGGGCTATTCCAGAGAAAGAAGTATGTAATCCTCTATAGAGAGAGAAAGGAAAACTGAAGGAGCTTCCTCTCATTCTGAATTTCAGGCAGAGAAGACACAACACGCAAAGCAATGAGACATTAAATGGCATGGCATATCTGAGAAACTACAGAAAGAGAAAAGTGGTGAGTGAAAGACGACAAAAAGGGAGAGATATAAGCTGGCCAAGATGTTGAGAGAACTCAAGTGCCATGCTAAAGAATTTGGTCTTTATCTTGAACAGTGCAAGGGAGAAGTTACTAGTCTGTTCAAGAAATGTATTTATTATGCACCTTCTATGTGCCAGGCATTTTTCTGGGTACTAAAAATATATTTGATGGCAGCAGACAAGAGTCCCTGACCTCCTGACACTCATATTCTAATTGAAGAAAGGAATAAACAATGGACATGTAAATAAGTTCCATAAAAAAAATTTCAGATAGTATTAGGTGCTATCAAATATGCTGCGAAGGAAGTATTGATACAACAGGGTAAGGGAATGGTGATGTGGACAGGGATACTACTTGGGCAGAGGTCATTCCCAGTGCTTCTGCGAAAAGGTAACATTTGAGCTTAGGCGTAAGTAACAAGAACCACCAAGCCAGGCACGGATTTGGTGACACAAGAGTTCAAAGTGTATAAAAAGCATATTCAACTACCCACTCTCAAGAGAGAACAAGGCAATGGGTTTTGAGCCCATGAGGGAGGCCTGGTAGGTGATACAACTAGAGAAGACACAAGTCAGGAGCCAGATTTTGTAGGGCAGGGGTGCCCTGTGGGAGCCGTGGGGCCAGCCACCCTGGAGGCATTTATAAAACTCCATCAGGGTGGGGTTTTTTGTTAGTGGCAATGACAAAAAGAAACTCCCCTTCCTGGCATTGGAAGGGCACAGGCTAGGACTTCTAGGCTTCCTGTAGCACACGGGAAAGTCTGCATATCACAGAGTTGTCATTCATCCTGAATGACTGTCTAACGTCCCACTGGGCATTCATTTAGATTAAATGCCAAGTTATAATTATCTGAGCCTAAAATCTAACTCCATTTTACATAGTTACAATTTTTAAAGAATAAAGATTCATTAACCCTTAAATTTTCCAGAAACACAAATACTTTATAAACTGAAGCCTATACTTCTTTTTGTTCTGAACATTACCAAAAACACTGTCGAGATATGTCACTGTAACAACACTGCTTGAGGTGCTTAAGTCACTGGTTAAAACACAGACAAGCAAACCTGTATCAGTCTGCATTTGTCACTCACATATTCCTGGTGACTTTACCTGTAGATGCATCTAGTATAATTATGCCTATACATGTACATACTGAAAAATAAAGTGCATTATTTAAAAACTTTTTCTATTTTCCATTATATAAAACTGAGACAGTATTTCAATTTTTAATAAGTAATCAGACAGGTTACAGTATCTGTGAAGCTCACTATGACAGCATAAACAGGGTGAGTAAAAATATTTGCTTATAAAACCAAGTCACTGGATGTGACAGAGATGGGAACCGCTCACTGTAGGATGTGGTCAGGATGCAGATTTTGTTCTAAGACCAACAAATATATAGAATATTTAAAAGGGGAGTCTTATGATCTGATTTGTGGTTTTAGAAGCTCATATCTGAATCTGTAGAAACCTGATGGCGGAAGGAAAGAAGGAAATCAAAGACACCAGAGAGGAGCTTGGGGCAGAGGTCAAAGCGAGCAGTGACTGGAGCCGAGACTTAATGTGCTGAGAAAAGAGTTTGTGAAATTTGTGGGGTTTGTTTTTTTCTTGTTTTTATTCCAAAATATTACAGGGGTACAAAAGTTTTTGGTTATGTGGAGCACTTCTGTAATGCTTTAAGTCAGGGTTATAAGTGTGTCCATTGCCCAGATAGTATTCACTGTACCCATTAGGTAGGTTTTCACATACTCCTTCCTCCCCTCTCTAATCCCTGCTTGATTTCCAGTGAGTTTTATTCTCTTCTATGCACATGTGTGTTCATCGGCTAGCTCCAATTTAATAGTGAGTGACTGTGGTGTTTCTTTTCCAATTCTTTAGGTGTTTCCCTTAGAACAATGGTCTCCAGTTCTACTCAAATTATTGCAAAAGACATGAATTCATTCTTTTCTTTTTTTTGGCTAATATTTCATGGTGTACATATAAACATTTTGTTAATCTACTCATGAATTGATGGGCACTTGGATTGATTCTACATCTTCACAATTGTGAATTGTGCCGTAATAAACATTCAAGTGCAGGCATCTTTTTGATAAAATGACTTCTTTTCCTTTGGGTAAATACCCAGTAGTGGGATTGCTGGATTGAATGGCAGGTCTACTTTCAGTTGTTTAAGGAATCCTTATGCTGTTCTCCATAAAGGTGATACTAATTTGCAGTTCTACCAATGGCATATAAGCATTTTTTCTCTCTGCATCCACACCAGCATCTGTTGAGACTTTTTAATGAAAGCAACTTTAACTGGGGTAAGGTGATTCTCATTGTGATTTTAATTTGCATTTCCCTGATTAGTGACATTAAGTTTTTCATATACATATTGTCCATTTTTCTATCTTCTTTTTTTAAAGTTTCTGTCTTTTGCCCACTTTTTAACGGGATTATTTTTTTCTTGCTGACTTGATTGAGTTCTTTGTAGATTCTAGTTATTAGCCATTTATCATATGTATAGCTTGCAAATATTTTCTCCAATTCTGTAGATTGTCTATTTGCTCTGTTGATTATTTCCTTCTCTGTGCAGAAGGTTTTTAATTTAAACAAGTCTCATTTATATTTCTTGTTGCTGTGATTGCCATTGGGGTCTTTAGTCATAAATTCTTTGCCTACGCTGATATCTAGAAGAGTTTTTTCTTACATTTTCTTCTAGAATTCTTATGGTTTCATGCTTTACATTCAAGTCTTTTATCCATAAATTAATTTTTGTGAGTGGTGAGAGATAGGGGTCCTATTTTGTTCTTCTGCATGTGGCTATTCAATTTTCCCAGCACCATTTATTGAATAGGAATTCTTTTCCCCAGTGTATATTGTTGTCTGCTTTATCCAAGATCAGTTGGCTGTATGTGGATAGTTTTCTATCTGGATTCTATTCTGTTCCATTGGTCTGTCTCTATTTTTGTGCCAGTTCCATGCTGTTTTGGTTACTATAGACTTTTAGCATATAGTTTGAAATCTGGTAATGTGATCCCTCCAGATTTGTTCTTTTTGTTTAAAACTGCTTTGGCTACTTGGGCTCTTTTCTGGTTCCAAACAAAGTGTACAGTTATTTTTCTAGATGTGTGAAATATGATGTCGGTATTTTGATGGGGATTGTGTTTAATCTGAAAATCACTTTTAGTGACATGGCACCTGGTGTTTCTAGTCAGCCATTTTGCCTCTACCGAAATTCATGTTTTTGCCTGCTTAGAATCCTTGATGTCTTTGACAGCTGTTATATCATTTATTTTCCCTCTTTTTGCTAAACATACATACACACACACACGCACGCACGCACATATACATATATATTTTTTCCATGAGACATTGGTTCTTTCCATCTTAGCTGACATCTGAAAATATTCTGTGTTGTCAGTATTCTTCATAGAGTTTCCAGAACTGAGGGCAATTCCGCAAATGGATTTGGACTTACTCACTGGACAACTAAATAGCACCTGTGACTGCTCTACCCTGCTGCCTGCTGAAGAATGAATTAGACTTGTCTGTATTCGCATTGATTCATTTATTTATATTCAGCTTTTGGTCAACTATGACTTCCTTTCTTAGAGCCTTTATACCAGGTTTTATATTTCTAAGACTGTTACTCTGATTAGCTTTGACTGCTACCTGTTCATTACCACCAGAATCCAACACAGCATGAAGAGATGCTAGGAAGAAAAGCCCTCTCTCTACACTTTACAAAAGCCTAGAAAAAGCCACCAGCATGTGACTAATTTCAACTGCAAAGTCCAAACCTCAGGTGTCATGAGGCTTGCCATTTTTTAATGAGCTCCAACCTGTATACGTAGACCCTTACCTCAAAAAGCCACTCGGCTCTGAGACATCTGTGTTTGTTCTGTCACCAACCATATCTATCTAGCAGTAAAAGCATCTCTCTTCAGTGCATCCAGTTGTACCTCTGCAGGAGAAGAGGCATGATGAAGTCATGAGTTCCTCATCACTATAAGCAAGTAAGCAAAGAGTAAATTTTTTCCATTCAAAGATGTTAAAGAGAAAATTCAGACTAGCGTCAACTGCCAGGCTGTGGACTTACTAGAGGAAACTTAGAGTCCCTTGTACTTAGGTTATTAAGTATGGAATGTCTGATTTCCTTAAGTACTAAGTTTGACAGTTGATATCTCTGACATTTCACTATGTCCCTACTTTTATTATGATGATGATGATGATGAAGGTACCTCCTCATTCTTTCAAATGAACAGTTTGGCTTGTGATTATCTTTCAAAAATTTTTAGAGCAATTTTTGTGAAACCATGGATAAGTAAAAAACTTGTGTTATTTTTGAATATGAGTTCTGTTGTGGAACCAATACAGCCGAGACATTTCCAAATATCAACGAAGTGTTTAGGAATGATGTGCCTAATGCACACATGGTGCATCAATGCTTTGAGAAGTTCCATTCTGGTGATTTTAATCTTGAAAATAAGCCATGGGGGTATCCTGAGACCAAGGTGGAGAATGATGAGCTGAAAGCTATAGTGGAAGCAAATCTATCTCAACCTACGTGTGAATTCGCAGCAAAGTCTGACATTACTATTGCAACAATATTGGACCATTTGAAACAAATCAGCAAGGTAAAGAAGCTGGATAGATGGGTACTACATGGACTAAATGAGCATCAGAAGAGAAATTTTCTCGAAGCTTTCCTTCCTTTGCTGTCATGACATAAAGGTGAACCATCTCTACACCATATTGTTATGTGTGATGAAAAATGGGTTCTTTCTGACAATCACAAGCATTCGGCACAATGGTTGGATAAAGACGAAGTGCCAAAATGCAGTTCAAAACCAAATATCTATCCAAAAAGAGTTACTGGTGTCCACTTGGTGGTCCAGCGCTGGTATTATCCACGACAGCTTCATAAAACTTGGTCAATCGATTACAGTGGATGTCTACTACAACCAACTGGATGAAATGATGAGAGTGCTTGT